CCTGGGGCGGCCGCCATAGCGACGGTTGACCTGCTTCACAGCAGTTTGCACGCGGTTCCCATGGTCAGCGTTTACACCGTTTGCGGAATGCCTTTTCGTTGTGGATACCCAAAGAGGCTCCCGCTCTCTTGCCATCGTCGCGAATTGTTATACTTTTTGATGGGAAAATCTAATTCTTCATAGTGTACTGTATTCATAGTTACTATTAGTGTTCAGAGTGGTACTGTAAGAGACAAGTAAGAAGGGATCGGGGAATAAAAAAAGAGAGTGAGAGAGAAACAGAGACAAAGAGAGGGAAAGAGGCAGAAAACAATAAAACAGAGAGAGAGAGAAAAGGGACGTATAGTTGATAATTTGTTATGAACAGGGTATCCTAGGACGATGAATACTCGATAGGGGGTAGGAGGCAGATTAAATAGCGTCGGTAATTCCCCGAATTCACCAGTAAGATCGGTGGGACTTGTGATTTTTTGAAAGGAGGGGGTCTTATTTGGGTTTTGGAAGAGGTCGTACTTGTGAAAGGGTCGTGGTATGGAGAACGATTGAAATTTTGTAAATTTGTGTGGAATATGCCGTTCCAACACTTGCACACCTCTTCCGGCTCACCTCGCCGGGGAGGGCGTATTTTGTGGCAGAGCATTTTTGGGAGGTTGGTGTAGTGGCAAGTGGCGCACGCGCGGTCCGGGATCAAATCCTGGGTCGTGAGTCGCCCGGGCCAACCAAGCCTTCCATCCCTCCGGGGTCGGTTAATTGGTACCAGACTTGTCTGGGAGGATAAAAACACTGACTTGTACATCGGCTGGCCCCCGCAAGTCATTGTATAGGCCACATCGCATTCAAATCGCCACTACCATGCAAATGGAAGTGGAAGTGCGTGGCGCACCCCAACAACAAGATTGATTCACACTGATCTTCATTTACTTATATTTCCATCCAATTCGGGCAAAAGGATTAAAAAGGGCATTTTTAGGTGTAAAAAGAATTTCGTACAGATTTACGGAATATTTAGAAATTCTTACTGCGTTTATGGAAAGTGCCATCCTAACAGTAGCAGTACACCTCATGATCTGCAGATTCTTGGCAGAATGGACGAAGGCAATTGGGGGGAGGGACTTGAACTACATATTATAGAAGAACTCAGAGTGCGGAAAAGAAAGTGGTGAACTGGTCGTCCTTATAACACTCCTTAGCCTTGCCCTTGTCCTGGACCCCAAACGCCTTCTAGGTACCTTTGCCAACTGGAAAAGTCTGAGTGCGAGTGGGCGTTGCCAGAGACCCGGTGAGGTAACGATTTTTCCACCGCATCGACAAGAGCGTGGGCGGCGGTGAGCGCGCTGTCGTTATCAATTTCCCTCTGCGTCTCTGCGCTCTCTCGCAACTGCCCTTCTCTCACTAAGCGCTCGCTGTGTTCGTGGGCGCAATCGAGGACGGGAGAGCGCTGGACTGAGCTGACCCACTTCATCACAGCCCTGCAACGCACACTGTGATCCCTCTAAGGTATTCAAGGAGGAATGGGGAGTGAAAAGGAAGCAGAAAAAGGTAAAAGTGGGTTTCAATCCACACGAAAGTGTCCCGCAGCACTTGCAGCTTTGACCCAGCTTGACCTTCTGGTATGATTTCCGTACGCTTCCTAGACTCTGTGGGGCCGGGTGCAGCAAGCGCCAACTCGGGGATGGGTCTCCAAAACGTCCCCCTTATTCTTGTCCATAAGAATTGCGTCATCGACCAGAGCAGAGACGCAGAGTTTTGGGGACCCATCCCCCACTTGGAGCTTCCTGCACAGGGCCCTGATGGGAAACAAGGCACTGAATTTCTGTATAGGACCCACGTGTGTCACAAGGTCAGCACCCACCAGAGAAACGATCGATACCACCCGAATCGCTGTGTGATGGAGAGATAGATAGCAGAGTGGGAGAACCCTACTGGCCGCCGCCGTCCGGGCAATCCGCCCAGCGGGTGCCGCTCGTCGGGCGCCCGGCCTGCAGACTGAGCCCCGCGTCGCACACGATCAACAACGACCGCGCGCGACTGCCGCGAACGGGGCTGCGACCTCGTCACTTCAACGCACACAACACCCACACCGTCGTCGATTATTGATCGGCGCGGCGCATTGACGACGGGACTTCTTCCCGGGACGTTTCGTACAACATCGTGGAACTCGTCCGCTATGGTCATTGGCTTGCTTTACTTTCTTAATTTTGAATTTCTTTTAACATTACTGAAGATATGTTGAATGTGATTACAATCCAGTCTCGTCATTATTCCTTATAAGTAGAGGGTGTATGCTGTATCTCAGTCATGGGTTCCGTCTAGGACCCATCTTGGATTTTCTTGCCCATAATTCAACGCTTTCTCCTGCGATATCTATTTTTATTGCCTAAAAGTTCTTATGTACTATAGCCATTAGTTTTATTCTAGAGAAGTTTTTCGGCTCTATACAAGTGGGGTGGGCACGCCCAGCTTTTCACGCATGTCAAGTGACTGCCCTCACCCCCACCCCCTAGATTGGCTACACTCCCCCTGGCTCACGAATTCCCCGATTCTCGTGACAGTATAGTAGCGGGCAGCAGTCCCACTTACATACATTTCTGTTCAAAAAATGCGGCGTGCCCACCCTACTTGTATAGCACCAAGCTTTTCTTGGTATAAGCAATTAATGTGCCTATAACGGAACCCAACAACCCTTATTGTGGGGTTCGGCCCAGTTGGGAGCAATTTTTACTTGTTACCTTGCATTATATTTCGCGAATAGTTGAGTACTATTTCTGTGCACTTCTTAGTTTCTACACTCAGTCGGTAGGACACAATATAAAAACTAAATACAGGGCAATATCCAAAAGCTGTGAACCTTGCATAGATGTCGTTTGACCTCCGAACCCAACCCATTATGGACGAGTTGATCGGAGTGACAACTCGTACGCGTTGGCGCTACCACGTTGCACGTGTGTTGGAAAAAAGTCCATTCTTCTTGTAGTGTGCTGCAAAATCGTTGCTCTATTTTCATTCCGTGTCTTTGTAAATAATTGTCTTTGGCTGTTTCCTTCGCATTTTTATCATTATGAACATATTTTGAGGTAGACGCGGATCTAGGATTTAAATTCAACTACATGCCATGACGGCTGTCGACATAAAAAGCGATTTCGGATATACTGAAGTTGCCGTCGAAGATCTCTGCAGGGTAAGGAGACACGCCCACTTTCCTGGTACCGCCGCGACACTGTACCTTCGACTTTTATAAGTATTTTAGACATCATACATGTACGCGGATGAAGATGATGATGATATCATTTGCTTGGACAGCGATGTTCTTCCGCCTTCATCTTCACCGCCGAGCCAGGTTGGTTAATAGAACTTAAATCGAAAAACTCCCAAGGGCTATCATAGTGGTAAGGATAACTTTATAGCCAAGAAAGCCTTCACCCTATCTAAAAATGCCTGCGTGTTTTGTAATTGGGGATTCCGTCGTGCGCCCACACATGTCGCTGTGGTGCCGATGAACATCGATTTGCGACGAACTGCAGCGGCATCGATGCCACGCGCACCTAAAGCCGCCGCTTAGGAAGAACGGCTGAACCAGCTTGCAGCCGTGCCAAAAGTAAAGAAAGAACAAGGAACACCTCCGTACTAGAAATCCCCATCGACGCATGTTGTTCTTTGGTTGAAGGGTCGTATCGGATTTGGGGGTCGTAGTTTTGTGTTTTTGCGAGAACGTGAGGATATGAAGTGTGGAAAGGGAGCGTAATCTTGCTATTTGGCAGTTTCATATTCTATCTCCTCGATGCTGACGCGCTTCCATAATTTCGGGGACGTGCTTGGAAGGGTTCGATGAAATTCGGTGAAGAATTCTTCTTATCCTACTATATATAATTCGCTAAGTATGTCTGTGTCTTTGCGTGGGTGCGTACATTTGGGGGGGGGGGGGGGGGGGGGGGGAGTCACCTGAAATTCATAGCGCGCCCTTCGCTCAACGATATAAATGTGGGCGCTCATGTCCCTTAGGGGGACATTCAAAACAGAACTTCCGAAAACCGCTGGCAGGACTGAGCCCAGGATTGGGAATAAACACCAGGGAGAACAATTGTTGCTCACATCCTTTTCCAGAATCCTGTCTCCTCCCTAAGGCTTAGTCCTAGCTCTATAGTGGGCCACTCACTTCATATGTTCACTTCAAATGGTCCCCTAAGGACATAGCGCCACACGCTGTAATTTTTTGTATATGTGGGCAGGACGGTAACATGTGATGGGGTCAGAAGTCGATAACGACTGATAAGAAGTGATACCGAGGCGCTAAGAATCGCATTTCATCGAATTCCATAGCGGCACGTACCAACGTTGAGCGCCGCTCCAACAAGTTATTGGGAGGTTAAGACGGAACATTATTGGTGGAGGAACGAAAATAATAACAGCTGATCCATGTGCTGTAATAAGTTGGCGGGCCGAAGTAAAAGGCACGGGTCATCAAATGAATATCACGTGTCACAGCAGCAATGAAGCTTTGGATTCGTCAAGTGATGTTAGAGTGTGGGACGGGAACGTATTTGGTGGTGAACCAAGAATGATAATAGTTGAGAAGCGCTGATAATAACAATGTAGGTACGCTTCAAACCTAATAGCAGAGTAAGCATACCATTTCATTTTTATGTCATTTAGCATTCCTACGTCACTTGCCTCATAACTTCGTATAGTTTAATCGACACCATGACACCGTCGATCATCGGTGGAGGTAGTGGAATAGAGGTAAAGGGGGTAATATTCATGGAAGGTGAGGGAACGTATAGTTCAAAAGGCGTGGTTCTTTCTTGGGAGGGTGGGGTTGCTGGGCAAGTTTTCTTTTTTCAGATTCCAAGCCTTCGTTGAGTTCTCTTTAGCTCGCGTATACCTTGTTTTTATTACATTTCTTCTGCATATAATCCACAGTGAGAAGAACATTAAATGAGTCGCAAACCATGCGTACAACTAGGGGTTTGAACAGCATTCAACTCTTGATCGCTTTCACGACAGGCAACTTTATATTTGCCACAAAGTCATAAACACATGACTACTCACATCTTGATTCCAAGGATTTTTTTGTTATTTAAAATTACGCAACCAGTGCCTCAGAATCTGAGAGCTGTTCCAAAACTGCGATTTAAGGTTTCGCGGCAAACTCCGCCCACTTCGTTAATGTCTCTGTGCCTTCAATAGGGTTTCATCGCCGCTGCATGCCCAGCCTTCTGTTTCACCTCTTTGCAACGCATTCTGCCAGCTATAAGGTTTAGTAGTAAACTCTTCGCCTACGTCGACACTTGACCTAGCATCAGCGGTATTGACCCCTCTAATAATAAACGGATGGCGCAATGCGGCATCCGGGGGGAGAGACGGTGGCAGTCGCGTGCTTGGCTCAGGCGATGTGTGTGAACTCGAAACATTCCAGCTTTCCAACCAAATCCGGCCACGAAATTCCAGTCTCTCACGCACGAGTTTGCTAGCAGAACTGCCCTCACCTTGACTCCACACTGAAATTGCGCTACAGTTCGCGCTCCGGCTACGACTTTCTTCCTGGCGCAAACGCCGCGCGCGGCGGCTGGCACGCCCTTTCCCAGCCCCATTGCGCCACATAAAGATACATTCCCTTATGTTACACGCTTTTTGGAACCTAATTGTGGGGATTCTGTACAAAAGTACGCGCCATTGAGGGATTACCTCCGCCCATTGATGGGTCCACTGCCAAGCATTGCTCCTCTGCGACCATTTTTTTCTGCTTTGCAATTTTCACGTAACCGAGTCATTGAATGTTTCACTAAACATCTCCCTAATTCGATGTGACGTGCACACCATAAGGCATTTTTCACGTATCTGGGTTGTTCTAATATCTATTTTGAAATTTTCGCCGCGCAAATCCGCCGTAATCTCATTTCGGTGCGTGCGTGCCACGCCCATTCTGGGCGTGCTCCACCTAGCCTATGGTGTTTTGGACTTCTTGCCCATGCCTCACTCATCCAAAAACTTTACCTGGGAATCTTGGTAAGTGTTTTTGTGGAAATCAGATTCTTTTGCCGGCCGCAACATTCATAGTACCTTGGCCTTATACAGGGGTGGCCAAAAAAGAGACACTTGACTCCACATTTCAGACAGCATTAATCACACTTTGCTAAATCAAATCGACTGCCCCCAACTCAGTATTGAAGAGCACCTTCTAATCTATCTAAAAGTTACATGACAGCCTTCTACACCGACGACATCAGAAGATTTTCCCACGGAAACATGGTTCACGGTACGAGCTCAACGAGGAGGTACCATAGACCATTACGACGTCCCTGAAACGCTGATCAAAAGCGGTTCTGCATATTCACAGCTAATGTCACTGGGAAGCTATTCGCAGCTTCATGCCGGAGCGATTACGGTAAGCCTCGTTGAGCTCGACGGTGGCGGCAGATGACGTCATATTCTGAAGACGGCGGGGACAGTGAAGGAGGGCCTGCTTCTGTTTACGGGGGAACACCTTAGGAATATTTCGCCGTAAAACTTTCATTAACATCGGCACCCTGTGCGACGAAAAGTTCGATGATGTGCGCCATGGGCAAAAGTGTCTTTTTTTGGCCCCCCAACTGACGTCAATCCAGGGATTCGCATTGCCCCTGTAGTCATAGGGATTCTGAACATAACTTATGCTATGGGTCGACCCTTTGCGTCTCTGTCGGCAGGGGATATATCCCCTAGTCGAGACTAGGGGGATTCGTCCCCTCAGATGCCGACGCGGAGAATCGACGGCAGTGACCGTTTCGCATGGTCGCGTCATAGGACCCATCGAAAAATGATGGGTCCTGTGACGAAATCAGGGACATATCCCCAAGGTTGGGGAGAGGGGGATGGTTCCCCATCCCTTCGTCGGGGCTTGTTGCACCCGTCCCCAGGTAACAATGTGCCTTGGCTTTCTAAGCCTGACATGGGGATGTTGCCTTCCATTTCTATGGAAAGTAAGTTACTCAGAAATTGGTTGTTTGCATAAATGGGAAGGGGGAGCTAACTCATGTGGCTGCCTTGCTCGGAAATAAGAAAATCTGGAGATGGGGAGACATCTGAAAGAAAGTTCCAAGTGAAAATGTGCAGCTCGCGATTTTTTTCAACCATCTCGGACGCTAATAGATTAGCTGGCCATTACTGTTTCGTTTGTGTGAAGTGCGCTCTGCTTGAAATAAATTACCAACGAAGAGCATGCCAAAACCATTCAATTGCAGCCATGCGTGTAATAGTATGCAAGCACCCATCACTATTCAGCTTGTTATCAAAATCACTGACTTGGACCTTTCACCTATGTATGAACGAAGAATTTCGAACGAGTTATCGTGAATATGTTGAAGTATTGCTACTTTTGTCTCCATTAGTTGACGTTTCCAGTGTTGTCGGCGATCTTAACTTTACCGCTAAACCGAACTGACCTTTCATGTTATTTTTGATATTTGATTTGGTAAAAGGTTGTCCACTCCGTTCCAAGTGATCATTGTTGTTCTTTCCAGGATGCTTCCCCTCCAGAACAGCCGAAGCTGTCTAGGCTCCTGCTACAGGTATTTTAAATCGCTTCTTTAATTTGTTTCCTGTTTCTCACCGCCACTAGAACCAATATTTCTTCTATTGATGCTTGTATGATTGTTTCTTCACATTGGTGGGAGGTTTCATTTTGTGAATCTAACTATCACTTATGCGCATGCAAAGTAGTAAGCGCTGACCTTCTCATGCGGGCCATCTCACCGTCGATTGGATGCGCAGCAGTCTGTAAAGAAAGGACACAGTTGTACATCGGCTTATCCAATTCATTGTATCTCAAATTTCATTTCAATGCCCATACAATTTTGACTGGGAGTAGGTTGCTTGGCGCATATTCATAGTCACCGTTCAACATCAAAGGCTCTGGCCTTTTGTGTAGCTTTTACGTTTCGATGAGTGTCGGAGATAACTTCTTTGATCATTCCCATTGAAAAGGAGGTTATCGGAAACCCAGTAGCGCCATCGATGTTTGATAGCGTTTTTGAATGAGTATTGGGCTCACAGGAAAAAAAGCGCGGGTGCTAACTTAGTGGGGGGACCACGCGGCGGCGCGGCGCTCTGTTCGTCTGCTCCTCCAAGGCTTAGTCCGCCGATGGCGCGTATTTCGAAACTGCCACGTGGCGACGAAATAGTAACTGCCCCTTGGACTAAGCCTTAGAGGAGCAGACGAACAGAGCGCCGCGCCGCCGCGTGGTCCTCCCCAACTATGTTAGCACCAAAACGCGTTCACAGTGAAAAGCATAAGCATTTGTTTTCCACTGTGGACGCGTTTTGGTGCCAACATAGTGCCATGGTGCATAAACGTGGACGTTGTGCATTGAATTGTCCTAATTCTCGAATAGTTCGTTGTTTATGGGTCATAGAGCTCGTGTTGTTCAGATTGTACGGTTGCATCTGAGTGAGCAATGTATATCTCCTGGATGCTCAGCAATTATGGAAGAAACACAAAACCTCCGGAGGAAGATGGCTATGTTGGAGGAGCTAAGCTCGCGGCTACGCCGAGTGTGCACCACCCAGAAGTCTGGTAAGTGTTTTATTTTGACCATCAAGCTGGAACAGGTACTATTCCAAATGGCAAGTGTATCCTCGAAATATCTTTTTGTAACTACTTTTCATTGGGAAACGATGAGCAATAATTTATTATGACACACATGAATGGGATTAGAAGGAGGTAATTCTGATGCTAGACGACTTGCGATGTAAAGTGTGTTAGTTGTGTTTCTGTTAGATGGATCTGAGAGTCTTGGTTCTCACATCGGACTCTACCAAAATTGATTTCCAAATTATGCGCTCCACCGCTTCATCAGAGGAGGTGCTCAAGTTGAAACGGACTTGCATCTTTTTTTTTCTAAATTCATTCGCTGATTCTTCGCTTTAATACTTTTGTTTTGGTACGGTCGTTTTGTTGGAACAAGCTAGACTTGCGTTTCAGATATTGCAAGACTTAATGAAGAGACTGAAAAGCAGAGAAGGAAGATAGCAGTGATGGAAGGCGTCATTAAAAAGCAAAGTGACACTATTCGTGACGCCGAAGCTCAAATAGCTTTTCTTCAGGTCGGGTTCTGAGCATTGACTGCCGTCTACTATTTCACCAAAAGTGTCCTGTGCAATTGTCTAAACGCTGGTATTTAAGCGTACCGCGAGACCGCTGGCTGCGAAGCAATCCAATTATTCTCAACAGAAAATTGCGACTAATTCTCAGATTATGAATCGCCCATTTCACAACATTCCACGTCCACAGCTTCCAGTTGTGGTACAGGTTAGTCATGGAATCAAGCACATGTCTATGAGCTATCACCGTTACTTTCACGTCTTTAGAGAAGAGTCCGTAGTGAAGCAAACCTTCCAAATCTCGGTGGTGGCAGACCGTCACTCGCCAATGGTGCCAGGGAGCATGCTGCTCAAACTCCTGTGCGTCCTAATGGAGTGGTACGTCGCTTATTTTCTTTCCATCGTCTTTGATGACGTGCTCCTTCGCGAGTTACGAATTTATTTCAGGCTCAAACCCCTACGCGCACACCTCAAACTACACCTACTCTTTCACGGATGCTGCAAACTCCATCACGCACACCTCAAACCCCTTCAAATCTTTCACGGATGCCTCAGACTCCTCACAATACATCAACACCTCGGACACCCGCGAATGTGCCTCTGAAGTCCAGTCGTGTGAAAATAGAAGTGCCTTTTGCAAACGAGAAGTCACTTATCAACTTCGATGCACCTATAGAGGTTGGCTCTTTCATTTTTTATGCTTCTCCATTGGTCTTTTTTATTGGCAGTCTCCAGCTTTTCTCTTCATGGCCTTGGCACCGATGTCAATTTTGGTGATTTTTCTTTGTTTTGGTGGCGTTTGTAAATTGAAAATTTTTCATTGGCCTACCGTCTTCCTCACATTATCTGATTTTGTGTTGCCCATTGAGCAGCTCAGCGCTTCTTTTACTAAGCATTTTACAGGATAATATGGGAATCAACTTTGTTTGGAAACAGGAATGAGGGAGTGAATGCTACCTAACTGATTGGTTTCCTATCTATGTTATTTATGATCAGCAAAGGGGACATATTGTGCAGTCCGTGTACAGAAGCAAACGGAAAGGAAAAAAACACCGGCGCATAAGTGCGCGTTGGTGACCTGTGGCAACGCGACGACAAGTCGAGCAGAGCCCACTGTTGCTGCTACTCTGCTCGAATAGTAGTGAAATTGCCACCACCCTACCAACCCCTGCAATCAGTAATGTAA